GGGTGGGACTGGCCGGCCAACCTCCCAGGGCCCCTACCCTGGCCGCTGACCCCCAATTGGTCCCCCCACCCCAATTGGGGGCAGGGCCTGCCAGACAATTGCCCGCGGCCCCTCCCCCCAGCCTGCCAGCCCTTGATTGGGCCCCAATTGGGGTGGGCCGGCCAGCCAATCTCCTGCCGTGTCTTCCTCCCGACAGGCCTGGCCCCAATCCACCAATTGGGGCCGGGCCAGCCAGACCCCACCCATGCATGAATTTGTGCACTGGGCCTCTAGTAATTATATAATGTTGGGAGTATGCTGCAGTGACAATTCTGTAGCTTGCCTTTCTGCATTTCCTGTTATAGTATGAACATTTACCCATATCTTTAAGTGGCCTCCATAATGACAGTAATTGTGAGAACTCTTTCCTTCCCACATAAGTTGGATAGGCCCTTAAAAAACTGTACAGTCTGCGGCATTAGAACCTTCAGGAAACTACAGTTCTCTTCTCCTCTGATTTGGCAAATGTGTTTCTTGCAATGACATCAGCTCAGTTAAAGGTGAATCTGTCTTACTGCGAACTAATATTGTAGTGAAAGCTCTTTTATCCCGAAAATTAAAGCAACGTAGTAATATAGTATTATTACAACAGTGATAATGTCACTGAAAACCAAGTTTACGTACTTGTAAGACTGAAATTCCAAACCATTTTTATCCCAAGAAAGTTACTTTTATTCCTGTTTTTCCTTTTCTCTCACCAAATGAACTGATTTGGAAATGCTATATACCATCAAGGGTCTTGGCGACGGGACAAAAAAACTTGACTTGTTACTAACCTGGTAAGGGACCTGTCCCTTTCTGGGTCGGCTTCTTCCCACACCGAATTCGGTATTCATTTATTGCATTTTCAATCTCCTGCAGCCTTCTCACTGCATCCGTGAAATCTTGCTTTCGTTTTTTCTTCACGGTTTTACACAGGTCTGGCTCATTGGCAAGTTTCTTTGCAGCTTCCACCAGCTTTTGCTGTATTAGGAAGTTGCTCTCCAGCTCTTGCAAAGCAGGGTCCTGCATTTACACACGATGCTGTTTTATTTCTGTGGACACTCGCTCACTCTCACACGTACTGGCACTGAGTCAGACTTCTCGTGCAGTCTCAAACCAGACGCTCTCTGGGAATAAAATCTCCCGGTTTCACTGCACAGGTAGCCTCAAAACGTTCCTCATCCATTTACATCGACTTCTCACCCTCTTTCCCTTTCAAAGAAGGGAATGGCCTTTCATTTATTTAGTTGGTGGGTAAAGGTCCTATTTTTCAAGAAAGGGATTCTTAACCCAAGAGTCAGAGATGCAGAATGTTGTTTGCACAGGCATAGCTTTACAGACGTAAATCTGGGTTTGACTCCTTTCTCTGGGGGTTCCTGATTGTATGACCCCAGGCACGCTGCTTAATTTTTTAATGATTCAGTTTCTTTTTATTGTAAAATGAAAGTAACATCTACCTCACACAAGTATATGTGCATTCTTAGTGCAGAGCTGGGTATACAATGAGCACTCAATAAATAGCAAAGCTCACTCTATTATTGATGGAAACTGCTATCATTTTCTAAAGTCAAGATGGGTAAATTTCTATAAGAAACGAGGAAGGCCACATGAAAACATGCAATGAGAAAGCACATTCTATGTGGGCTAACAAATCTGCAGACTTTGCTCTCTCTACCTGCGTGCCGGACATGTATTACCTCACTGAATGCTCCTCGCCTCCCTTGGTGGGAAAACAATCACTGCACCCCCATTTTGTAGATGAGAAAACTGAGACCTGAGAATTAAGACTTCAACGAGGGAAAAGTATTTGCCAAAGGCTGCTGCCTAGTTTGAAGTGGAAGAGTCTAATGTCAGCATTCTTAATTCTTACGTTTCTCAGTTTATGAACATTTGGGGTTTGATGAGTGCTCTCTGTGTTTGGAAGAGTAATAACAATTTTAACTGAGCTGTGCACAAAAGAAGGAATTCAGTTTGGTCTCTATTATCACTTTCAACTGGTGAGATAAAAACGCACCAACTCAAAACCAACCGCCCGAGTGGCCCACGCTCAGCAGACAGCGGCTCTGTCTCTGTTCACAGAAACGGCGGCTGGTGCTCATACCTCTTCACTGGGGAGCAGGTTGTCATCTAACTTGAACGCGGTGCCCACACGCCTTCTGACCTGCGGAGGTTTCTCACCGATGCCCAGCGGGTACTCCTTTGGCATTTTGCCTGTGAGCTCCTGCGGGACAGAACAGAGCGACAGGACGATGGGTACTGGCCGGAGCTGTCAGGTACCATTTGAAGAGCCCCCCAAACAGAAGAGACTCACAGCCTCCCGCAAACAGATCTTCTTAAGCTCCTCGACTTTTTTCAGGAGCTTTTCTTGCAACAGCTTTTCCTTCTTCTTGAGTTCCAGGATTTTCTCTCGCTTTTGCTCCTCACTCAATTCCGAGTCTTGAGAACCTGGGGGATTGGAAGTGGGGGCAGGGAAGGTTTACCCACGGGATGTTTCCTTCCTTTTCAAAGGACAAAGGATTTTTAAGCCAAACCTGCTATTAAATAGTTTATTTCTTTTCTCCTTGTTGGTGAACATAATAAAAGGAAACGGGAGAACATTTTCTCATGCTCCTGGGCATCCAGCGGAGCCTGGTAATGAAATGTGCCTTCTGCGCTTTGGCTCAGTCATTTTTGGAGCAGTAATAAAACGCTTAATGTCTTAGATACACTCGAGGACAAAATTAACTTTTCTGAGCAGGTGAGATGTTCCTTGAGACAGTTGCTTAGAATGTTCTTTTAGAAAGCAAGCGAGCAAGGCAAAGGAATATTCTCTGCTTCAGATGCACAAGTTGACAGTGGGATTTTAATGGGAAAATGCATGTTAGCGAATACTTAGTGACAAAAGGTTCCAGGACTTCTTGGGAGGAATAAGAAGCTGATGGAATTTATCAGGAGAAAATGTCCTTTTAAGCTGCTCCTAGGCACTCACTGTCTCTGCATCTGGTGTTACTTATGCAACCTGACTATATTTAACTTTATATTTTTGGAACCAGTTTAAAATTTTTATTAAAAACTTCTGCATACTGTAATTTGGATATGCTTATTTATTCCCAAAATAATGGGTTAAAAGATGCATTTAAAAGTGGTTTAAACAACAACAAAAGTGAAATAAACTAAAGATTGCTGCACTCTCTCTAACCCCCGCCGGTTACCTGAGGAGATCAAGCTGCCATTGCTGGCCATGATGAACTGGCTTTTTGCCTCCAGAGTGACCGGTTTGGAGGTCCTCGGGGTTCCCATCTCCGTCAAATCCATCGCGATGTCGTCTAAACTTCTGGCTGAAGGAATTTTTGCCTAAAAGGTATACAACATTGTGATGGAATTCACTCAATTAAGCCTCTGTCAAATTAATGAGTAAGTTACTATAGAATAAAAATGTCAACATGGAGGACAATTTAGAATTTTTATACATATACTAAAATGACACTCTTCAGAAGAAACAAGACTTAGGCTTTGTGGCTAAACGTATTAATAACGATACATGATTGTTATGGTATAGTTCAATCATTAACTTTAAAACATTACCAGTTTACATATACACACAATTTTTTTTAATCCTCACCCAAAGATATATCTTTATTTATTTTTAAAAAAATATTTTTATTGATTTCAGAGAGGAAGGAAGAGAGAGAGAGAGATAGAAACATCAATGATGAGAGCCCACAACCCGGGCATGTGCCCTTGACTGGAATTAAACCTGGGACCCTTTAGTCCATAGGCTGACTTGACTTTTAGGAGGGGAAGGGAGAGAGAGAGAGAGAGAGAGAGAGAGAGAGAGAGAGAAACATTGATCGGTTGCCTCCCATACAAGGCACAACTGGGGATGGAAACTAGGTATGTGCCCTGCCTGAGAATCAAACCCATGACTTTTTGGTGTATGGGACAATGCTCCAACCAATTGAGCCACCCAACCAGGGGAAATCTGACAACTTTTGAATCAGGTTCTATATTGCTCTTTTTTTTAATATAAGAAAAATTAAAACAGTTGGTAGTAAAGTTTAAAAAAAAAACCCTAAAAGAACAAAAACCGATGTGCTTTCATCTTTTCTGAGAATGCTTATCTTTTAAACAGAAAGCAAATGAGGGGCAGGAGTTACTCCTACAGAACCTCGTCTAGTCACTTACTTTGCTTTGCTTCCGGTCCAAGTAAAACTGGTGCTGACTGATGGCCATCACCCAGATGGACTTGATGAGCGAGGAGTGTGCATACCAGGTTTGCACAAAGAGGCCACTTTGCCCAAAGGTCCTTCTTGATACCGAAATCCTGAAGATGAAGAAAAGCACTCAAATCACTGGCTTCTGGCCCGGCACGGCATGAAATGTTTCCAGTGAGTAATGTAATAACATCTCCTTCAGTGTTTTTCTGCCGCCACCCTCATGCTGACAGAGCTCTGAGTTTCTCCTTTTACGACAAAGCCCATCACTCCTAGGTAATAACTCTCTGTAAAACTAGTGTATTAAAAAATGCATGCACACACTCAAAGGCAGATAAGGATTAGTCAAATTAGAAGCTGTACTAAAAACACGTAGCTAAAACCACCACAAGCAGCCGGGAGTAAATGGGATACTATTTTAAAGACAGAGACCTGGGGATCAGCACCTTCCTCAGGAAAAGAACATCGAGGCTCTAGATCAGCAGTTCTCAACCTGTGGGTCGCGACCCCTCTGGGGGTCGAACGACCCTTTCACAGGGGTCACCTAAGACCATCGGAAAACACATATATAATTACATATTGTTTTTGTGATGAATCACTATGCTTTAATTATGTTCAATTTGTAACAATGAAATTGGGGGTCACCACAACATGAGGGTCGCGGCATTAGGAAGGTTAAGAACCACTGGTCTAGATGGACTTGTCTGACTCGGGCACCATCAGAGGATGGACATAACGATGCTGTCTGAGAGTACCCAAGTCCAAACCTGGTCCAGAGGGCTGCCTGTGCACAAACCAGGTGAATCGGAGGACAGGGTGGAAGAAGGAAGGATGGGGGAGGGGAGGGAGGGAGGGACCAACGTTCATTTGTAGGAATTCAGCCCATCGTTTTGTGAAGGGCTGTTTCCCCCATCCCCGTGTCCTCCGAATAGCCATAAATGTATCAGCTTGGAGAAACGACAGTCCTGACTTTCATTAATGGTGATCACTTGGCAGCTGTTTTTTAAAGTGATCAGGAATACTCAATTTCAAAATGAGCAAGGGATCTGAACTGAGATATGCAAATGGCCAATGAGCACATGAAAAGATGCTCAGCCATCATCAGTCATGAGGAAAATGCCACTTCCCACCACGAGGATGGCTGTTAAAGAACAACTCAACTAAAAATAACAAGTGTTAGGGCAGATGTGGCGAAAATGAACCCATATGCACTACTGGTGCGAATGGAAAATGGTGTCGCCGCCTTGGTAAACCTCCAGGGGTTCCTCCAAAGGTTAAAGAGTCAGCCCTTCACTCAGCAGTTCCACCCCCAGGTACAGACCCAGGAGAAATAAACACACATCCACGCAAAAGCTGCACGTGAATGTTCGCAGCATCACTCAGAGAGCCCCCAGGACCAAGCAGAGGGAAAGCTGGGACCCTCACCTCCGTGGGTCGTGAACTTCAACAGCAAATTTTTTCTCACGGAAATATAAGTTCTCCAGCTGTTTCCACTGGAACAGCTAATAAATTAAGAAAACACAAAAACACACATGGCTTTAATTTATGTTAAACTTTACTGCATCTAGAAATCAGCTCAATGAAAAAAATAAAGAAGGCACACCAACAGTAAGCACGAACATGCGATGCAGTCTTTTTACAAACCAACGACAACCTGAAACCATTTATCCCTCCTTCTGACAGTAATTTCCACCAACTCTTCCTTGAACAATAAAACTATGCACCGTGGGGAACATGCATGCTATTTCCCGTGACTCAACGCGATGAGAGCTGGTAAGGAAATCCTCCGAGGTTCCGGTAAGCACATGTCTCCTGATCAAAGATGCTGATTCACATTTAAATGGAAAGATACTCAAAGGGACCGAAGGGTGCAGTAAGACCACAGGTTACATTTCAAAGGAAAGCAAAGTGAAAGTAAGCCAGAACCCCAAGCAGGGGCGATTCTCCACCACCAGTTTCCTTGCCCACGAGTGTTCCCCTAAATGGGGCAGAAACCAGGAATTGGAGGCGGGGGTGGGTGGGGGTGAAGGCGCAGAGCCCTTTGGTGTCTGAGCCGGAGCCTCCGGGGTTTGTAACTTCCACATCCCCACTGCTGACGCTCTACTGCGGCCCCAGAGCTGTTTGCCAGTTGGTGGAGAAGAGACCCTCCTAGCAATGTGCTTTTGAAAGCCACACAACTTGTAAAGGCAGCTCGTCACAGAACTCAGTGTGCCTGCTGCATTTCCTGGCCCGTGACTCACGTTAGACGGTGTGCTAGCCGGAGCCCCGTCTTGTCTCTTGGACTTCATAGAATTCCTCTACTCCGACCCTAGTCTTGATTATTAGGGAAATAATAGCACAGTGATTTCATTCCATTACTAGACTTTGGCTGGGTTTTTAACATACGTTCAAAGAACCTTCATAAAGCATTTTAATGATCCAAATAACTTCTCTGCAACGCACTATCAGTAGAACCATTTCCTGAAGCACAGGAACCCAGGTATTCACAGACATGTCAGCTCATGCGAGAACAGCATGATCTAAGGGTCCTGCCCACATGCAGCCAAAAGTGTTCAAACAGGAGACAGAAGTGTCCCAGCGAGACCCGCCATCCCCAGCAGTGAAGCCAGCCCGCCCCCGGGGCACAGCGGCCAGCTCCAGCCCTCGCCCAGGCAGAAGGACTAGTGAAAGCTGAAGCTACGTACCGGTTTCCTAAAATGTCAATGGACGTGAGGCTTTCATTTCTTTTAATCCAGAAGTTCCAAAAATGGGACAGAACTGTGAGGGAACCCCTGGGGCTCTTTCCACCTCCCTCCCGACCGGCAGCCGGGTGAGTCTGAGCGAGTTTCCTAAGACTTAGGCGTGACTCAGTTTCACACAGTGAGCCTCCCACGGCCGCCTCGCCGGCAGACAGCAGCCGCTCTTATCTGGGGACACCTCCCCGTCCCCCTCCTTCTTCCCACCGACCGACCGGTGGGAGAGAGCAAAGTTCTCACCGGCAGGCTTTCCCCGGAGAGAGACTCGGCTTTAAGGGGGTACAGTGTGGATGCAGACGATCTTCCCGGGGAGTAAGTGGCTCTGGGCGCAGGTAGATTTCAGCCGAGCGGCCCGGGAGCCATTTCTACCTGGTTACTCACCCGGGGCACCAACAGGTTCTACAGGAAGAGCCGCAGCGCAGCGCAGCTGGGTTTCCCTTCGCGTCCATTCCCACACACATGAGAACCAGGCCGGGCTGGAAACCCGATCTGCGAGCACCTCCCCCAGCACTCACCCGCTGAAATCCTAGCGCCTGGCCCCCACTCAGCCCGTCCCTGCATCGGGGCCAACAGGCCACTTCCCTACCTGAAACCTTAAAGTTTATGCAAAAAGTGATTTCACGGCTGTGCCTGTGAGATTGACTTGGGATGACAAACTCGATTTGTGACAGTGGGTGCCCCTAGGGTGGGGACGGCAGAATGTGCAGGAGTAAGTGGTACAGAAAACTACATTACAGTAATATCTCACTTCTTTTATTAATAAAAACAAGATGAAGTGAATATGATAAAATATTAGTAATCGACCATTTAAGTGGTTATGTAGGTGTTGGCATTTTCTTACCACTGTATTTTTTAAAAAATTAAAAGAAATGAACATTTCTCAAATTAAAACAATATGCTTACATAAAACGAACATAGGCCAGTCGACTTTATGCAAGAGCGCATGTCCACCTCCTAAGCATTCAGAGGCCTCTATTTTAGACACTATTATCATTATGATTCTTATCAATGATTGGGGCGTGAGGAAAATACTGGTTGTAGCCGCCCTAGAGCCAGCTGGCAGCTGGAGACAGGCTAGCTGTTCTTTTGAAATTTCTGAAATCATTCTTCCTTGTGCCTTTATATGACATTTGTGCTCCTGATCTCAGAAAGGCAGATGGAGTGGCAAACGGCAATGGAGCTGAGGCGGATGGTTCATTTACTGGACGGTCGATCACCCAGTCAGCACTCCCCAGGCAGCTAACTCATTTTCATTCCCTTGCTTTCTGCCACTGTTTCCCTTAAAGGATAAATCAGAGCCCCTCCACAGCCCCTGTCAAAATCATAAGGAGATTTCAGACCAATGGAAGGAAAGGGGGAAACTGGTCAAAGAAACATCCCCCAGCTGACTTGACGGTGTGGCCGCCCCACTGAGAAACGCTCATGCAGGAGGCAGCACTCTCAATCACCGGGAGTGTGAGGGCCCAAAGAGACCATCCTGCATTCGAGGAAGGGCGAGAGCTCGAAGGCGGAGGAACCGATCTTCTATCATGTGTAACAGTTGGTGCCCATATAGGGTGGGACTATTACCAGGCATGATGTCTTAGGGTAGGACAAGATTATTATATATATTATTTATGCACATGTGTGTATACACACACACATTTGAAATTTTCATATTAAAATTGAACACAATATTTAGTCCAAGCCAAAATTACCATTCTCAGAGATCTAAAAGAAAAAAATGAGTTTTGTTTGCCTTGCAACACAAAGGTAAGAGTATGAAACTAAACTGCTTTATAAAGTGATCATTCAACAAGCATAATAACAACCATTTGTTAGTATTTATTATTGTTTCTTTGACACTCTCTAGTAGCTATAAGTTAGAAATTATGCTTTTTGGGAATCTATGGTGGAAATATTATATGACAGAAATAAAGCTACATGGTAGGTCGTCCAACTTTCTTTCTAACCTACACCCATCTAGAATGATCCATCGTGCCCTTCAGCCTCCAAGGAAGGAAGTAGATGACAACAGAGGAAATAATAGCTGGGATTAACTTTGAGACTGCAAAATAGATAGACAGGAAAGGTAGGAAAAGGAAAAGAGGAGCAATAAGAACAATGACATTAACAAAGAGATCATCAAAAAGCTACAACAGGAAGAGAACACATGCTAAGGTCAGTAAGCATCCTGCCTTACAAAAGAAAGTGACAAAAAATTTAAAAACTGATACAAAACCAAAGCAGAGTCAAACCCTATTTGAGAGCTACATTACCAGTCATATTTTACTTCTTTTATTAAGTATGCAACATGTAATCACAATAATCCTCAGATGTAAAGGAAGTGGATAGTTCCAGAAAAACTTACCACCCATTATTACACTTTATTTAATGAAATGCATGGGTTGGATATTTAAGCCATTTTCTTGAAATCTACCCTCAATTACTGTAAACTTAAAGAACCAGAAGAAATCACCTCTTCCCCATTCCCACCCCACGATCTCAGTGGTTCCCTAAACCTGAAATCACTGTCCTGCTGGAAAGCAAGGCTGCAGGAAAGCACGGGGACTTTCAGGAGCCTCGGTGACGCACGCGATAGTGGCTTGTGGAACCATTTACTCATTCTTCTCGAATCAACCAAGGTTTCTGTCTGCCTTCTATGTGAGCGGTTCTGTTCTTGTTGGCGAATCATGGCCAGGTCCCCTCTCTCGTGGGGCTTACCTGAACCAATGGGACCAAGTCAGACTGCCTTGGTTTGCATTCAGGTTCCACCACTCGTGTTTTTTAAAAAAATAAATATATTTTTGTTGATTTCAGAGAGGAAGGGAGAGGGAGAGCGCGATAGAAACATCAATGATGAGAGAGAACCATTGATTGGCTGCCTCCTACACGCCCCCACACTGGCGATTGAGCTGCAACCGGGGCATATGCCCTGCCGGGGATCGAACCGTGACCTCCTGGTTCATAGGCCATCACTTGTATTTTATTTGGCAAGTGCTTAACTTTCCTGAGTCTCAGTTTCCTTATCTGTAAAGTGGGACCAACAGCGCCTGCCTCAGAGGGTTGTTGGAAGGTCCAGCGAGCTTATGTTTAGGAGACACTTAGCCCAGTGCTTGGCTCAGAGTAGATATTTGGTAGGTGACAAAGCTACTTGTTCTGTTCGAAGGCCCTCAGTCCAGTTCCCGAATTTGATCATGCCCTTATGCAGATGGAGGTGGCCACTTAGTAGCAGGCATAGAACGAGAAACAGCTTCTGGATCCCAAAGCTGCCTTTCTGCTGGTGAGCAACAGCCAAATTATTCTGTTGACACACCTGTATCACCCAGGCTTCCAATTCTGTGAGTTTCTGTAAAAACTGCGGTATTTCTGTTGATTTTATCAGTGGTTTCTGAACACACCCTCTAGGTAGGAAATGTGTTCACTGATCCTGCACCATGGAGGTCACAGAGGAGCGGGGAGTGGTCAAGGCACGCCTCCGCCCCAGGGGGACGCCACCTCCCTCCTGTCTCGGTGCTCAGTACAGGAACGTGCCCCGGCAGGTGCAGAAACGCCGAGGAGTGCACCTGCTGCCGGCCACAGGGACCTCCTGGGTTTTGAAAGACTGAGAAAAAGCCTTTGGACAGTACGGATCAAAGTGTCTTTTTGAACCTTGACAAACTGAACGTAGACACCACCCAAAGGTTTAACACTAGGCAAGGACAGGAGAGATGTCACTGAGGCTTTTACAAAATACATATACAATGGAACCTCATTTCTCAGAGTTAATTCGTTCTGGAAAGCTTTTG